TTCATCTATATGCTCGAGTATCTCCTTCTTAAGATAATGCCAAGGAAAACATTGGCTTTCTCCTTTTTGTTAAATGTGTTGTACTATCCAATTTTCACCTATACCGGTAATCTTTACCAGTTTATTCTCGAAGGATTGAACTTTCGGAGGTCTGGAATAAACTTTATCCACGTGGATGCTTTCGAAATTAAACAGAATTGTATACTCCTTGATTTTTGGTGTCAATTCCTGCTTGTTAAAAGTAAAACAACTGTACGCAGGATTCCAGAATCAGACTAGAGCCTTGAGCAATGATTTATCCATCTTTACATAAAGAAGTTGCGCTACGTCACCATATTTCTTGTAAAACCTCTCTTTGGTGGGTGTTCTCCAACTTTCCCAAATCTCTGTCAATTCTCGTAAATCGTTGTGCTTGAGATTAGCATTGACATCCGTGGATAGCTGCGATACATAACCTTCAGGCAAACTATCTCCTTTTACTTTTTGCATTTCCTCCGACCAAGCTCATACAGCTGGATTGAGTTCTTCCTTGTTATGAAAACTTTTTTCCATTGCAATGATCGCTCTTCTAATATGATGATTACTTGGTTAATCAACACCTTTATTTTATTCATGATGATTATGCAAAAATGCCAATGCAAGCAAACAAAATAAATTAGAATTACAAACAAAAGAGGAAAAAATGAATTAGTAATAGCAAGATAATCAATAGAATTAAGATATGTTATCTACAAATAAATATAACACCTACCCAATCATGATATCTACCCAAGCATGCTTTAAATAGATAATAATCATACCCGAACATGCTTTCTATTTCAAGAAATGATCCTAACCGCATGATATCTAGTTCGCATGCTTTTATTCGAAAAGAAAATTTAAAGCAAAAAGAAAGATTCTGAAACACTTCTCCTTTGTGTATACTTAATTTGGGTACCTACTGACAGTCAGAGGTTCGATATGTCTATACCTAGGGTAACAGTTCTACGGTTCAATATATGCATGGTTTTGGCTCTAACAGAAAAAAGGTACTCGAATTGTCCTTAATGTTGGTGCCCCCTTGGGCTACCAAACCCTCAATCCTGGCCCATTACAGGCTCGTACGGATTGAGTTCAATTCGAGAGGATACATTCCCTTATGTCCATGCGGAGAAACAATTTATCTCACATAGACATAATGTATATGAACCCCAAAGATTTCTTGCTAAAACCCGTACGGAGAAACAGATTATCTCACATAGGTTAAGCTTTCATCTCAACTTCAAAGGGACAAAACTTGTAATTGATCTTATGGTATGCAAATGTCGGTGATGTTTAAGAGGGGGAACATTCAGCCCTTTGACTCAAAAGGAAAACGAAACTACTCGACAAAACTTTGAACAAATCTGAAAACAAAGATAAAAATGTTAATAAGACAATAATAAAACGAATCAATTAAAAACTTCAATAAAATGATCATATGTTAACTAAAGACTCGAACTCATAATTTCTATCAAACGACAATGTGCAAGCGACTTACAGACTGACTCTCTAAAAAAATGTCCCCAGCGGAGTCGCCAAGCTGTCGTAACCGTTTTTCGACGGGAACAATCGTATAATTGTTTTAAAAAAAACATGTTACGACTTTTAATTTTGGAAAATTGGGTATTTTGAATTAATTGGATAAAATTGAAAGAGTCGCCATCAACCTTTGGGTTAGGTAGGTTGAACACCTAAAAATGTCTTTTAAAAACAATTTTTAAGAAAAAACATTTTTTAAGACAAAAATTGGTCTGCGTTTACCAAAGATTCGATTAAAACGGGTTCGGGAGTAGGTTACGCGTGGAGAAGGATTAGTACCCCCACAGCACCCAAAATTGGTACTGTGTCGCTTATACATTGTCGTAAATGGTGAAAATCCTGAATCAAATATCAAGTTAAAATATGATCCGTTTATTGGAATTTAATTAATTTACTTCAGATTAATAACCTAAAGAAAATAAAATAAAATAAGTAGTTAAACTTATAAGAACTAAAATGCAACAAATCAAAAACCTGAACGCTAAATTACAATTAAACCAAATTAAAACAAGGACTAAAACATGTAATAATGTCAAGTTATGCACATGAAGATATCATACAAAAACTAATTAAATAAAATAAATGATTATTTGACTCATGAAAATTACCATGACATTCTAATACAAAAATTATATAATTAAATAAAACAAATGATTATTTAACTCATGAAAATTACCATGACATTCTAATACAAAAATTATATGCATTTATTTAGATTATAAACTATATCTTATATATGATTACCATAAATAAGTTTTGAACATTTGAACCATAACTAATACTCAATATTAAAATATAAAGATTTAATTCAATCTAGGATACACAAATATATGTAAGGTACTATATGAATTTATATTAACTAATCATATATACATACTATCATACAAACATGTACGCATATTATGAACAAGTAATGGACCACTATACTTATTAAATAAATGATATAAAGAATGTAAAAGTAAATACAAGTATGCATCCAATATAATAAAAATATATTAAAATTGATCATGCATGAGCTAATTAAATATAATATATACTCCAATAATTTTAAATATATATATATATATATATATATATATATATATATACTAATCCAACTAAGCTATTCTTCCTACAGACACATTAAACAAATATATATGAACAAAGAATCAGTTTCCAAGGTAAATGTACAAGTGAGCTAAAAATTAATTGTTCCAAATATTTTAATATAAAATCTAACTTTAGCCTAAACCTAATACTAAACTAAAATACCCGGCCGTTTTCAACTTCAAAGAAATCTCAACTCTCTCTTCTACTTCCCATGCCCGAGAAGCTCAAGGTTAACACTCACAACGCCGGCAGCTTCTCCGAAGGATGTTCCTTGCTCCGACCACATACCACGTTAACCAGGTAAGACTTGCTAAACCCTTCCCTATTTCTTAAACGGCGATGCTCTCCTCACGATGACTCCCATCTTTTTCAGTAAAGACCCAAACACCATAAGGTAAACTAAATCGAAACTATATTTCAATCTTTATTTTATATTTTTATTTTGCTTTAATCTAATCCTCTCATCCGAATCCTTTTAGAATCTACTCAAGACTCATTGTTTTGGAACCGACCACCTAGCCCCTTAAACATCAGGACAATCACTCCGGTAGTTAAAGCTCACAACACTAAGGTAAAATCTCTTTCCTCCCTTTTTCAATTGGTTTTTTATTTTGAAACACACATGCACACACAGAGAAAACGGAAAATGAAAACAATAAAAAAAAACCTTGAACCCAAATTGTATTTCTATTGCTTTCGATTTTTTTTTAATACAAAAGTGAGATTCTTGCTACAATGGTGTTCTGTTGGCTTTTCGAAGGGTGAATGAAAATTCTCGTCTTCTTTGCTTTTCTGTTGAAAACCAAGACCCCTCTATCGTTGGTGAAAATTTCTCGTTTTTTTCTTTCTCTCTCGCTTCTCTTGATAATTTTTTTGTTCTCACCGAATGTTCCTCCCCCCTCCTTTTTCTCGATTCCTCTTCGATTTTATTGTTGAAATCTTCACCGAATCTCCTTGGATGCATCTGCATTTTCTTTGCGTTTGGTATGATGTTGATGGGTTAGGTAAAATCATTAATTTTGCTTGACTTTGGTGCATGTGATTTGATGAGTTCGATTGAAATGGCCCGAGCTGTTGGTGAGAATAAGATCTTGTCGTTGACACAAAGGCTAATTGGAGTTGGCTGTGTGGGCAGTGAGTGTATACTCTGGACATATAATTGTCACTTGTTGGCCTGCATAAAATATAAATAAAATGATATTAATAGTAATAATAATAATAATCATACTATAGTATAGTATATAATAATAAATATAATATATATTTTAATCTCAATCAAAAAACGGGTGTCTACATATTTTTTATATTTTTTCAATTTGGTACCCTAGCCTTTTTATTTCTTAACGTAGTTCACTTTTAGCGTCAATTTGACCTCTAAACTTCAACTTATTTCATTATAATCCTTTTTAATATTTATATTGTTAACTTAACATTTTTTATTTTTTACTTATTTCTTTTATATTTTAATTTAACCTTTTTTTATCTAAAAATAATTTCATATTTTTTAGGCTATTCTAAAATTCGTCAAAGTAAGTAGTTCGGATAGAACTTTTAAATTTTAATTTAACTTTTAATTTTCGTAATTAAGACAATCGGGAAATCAAATTGGTATCGAAAGGGCAGTACAGAGATGCTAATATTCCTATAATCGACTCCCGAATCTGACAAATTTACGGTAAATCGTAGATTAGGACAACAATAAGTTATGGTATACGATCAACCAATTTAAAATGATCGGTGGCGACTCCAACACACCAAATTAAGTCGGAACCCGATTTCGAGACCACCTTAAGGACAATTATGACAAAAAGAAATGGGAGGAATAAAGGGGAAGTTAATTCTCCACTAAGAATCCAATGCCCTTCCATATTGGGGGTGCTGGCAAATGGGAGTAAATCCTCTAACATAAGCATAAAAAGTGTCAATCAGATAAGAAGGGGCTTTTCTGGGTATAAATAATAGATTAAGGGCTTTTCTGGGTATAAATAATAGATTAAGGGCTTATTTGACTACAAAACAAATATGAGGGATTATATATAGAGGGTATTGTAGTTTGAGGGCTATTTGAGTATATTAACCTTTTAAATCAAAAAGTCCTGAGAAAACAAGGGAGCCTCGAAGGGAAAAAAGAAAACAGGGACAATGTCGTCTTGCCTTATCCAATGAATGCCCTTTCGAAGCCTCCAAAAGGCTGCGGTTCACCTCTATTTCCCCACTGGAGAACCCTTCACATTATGCAATTGTTTTGACTTTTGGTCATGTTCCTTCATAACCACCAGAATTAATTAAGTAGATATTAGGGGAAACGACCGCGGCGGCGGTGGCAGCGGCGGAATTGAAAGAACTAAGAGATGGCCAATCACTATTATCCTCAAAGCAATGTCATGGCCGTATCAACACCTTCAACATCTCTGAATTCACTCTCTCCATTGTTGCTCAGAGGAAATCATAGTTTCTTCCGAAATAAGAAGATTGGTGTGGAGAGATCTCTCGCGTTTGAAAGAAAAACAACCGGAAATTGAGAAAAAAACAAGGGAAGAGAATACACGGTGGTTGTTGCTTCAAGCGGCAACGTCGCTTCGTCTGATCTCTGGGAGTCATGGAAACCTCAGAAGAGTTCTCCGGCTCCTTCACTCAGCGACGTCCTTTGGCCCTCTGCAGGTTAGTTCATCACCGCTGATAAGTTAAGATTCTGGAGAAGAATGCAAATTGAGGGAGTGATTAAGGAGTTAGATGTTGATTAATGAAGTTATGAGGACCAATGTATGATAATTTTGATGAACAGGAGCGTTCGCTGCAATGGCGATACTGGGAAAGATGGATCAGATTTTAGCACCAAAAGGGGTTTCAATGACGATTGCTCCTTTCGGGGCGGTTTGTGCTGTCCTCTTTGCTTCACCCTCCTCTCCTGCGGGTATGTCACTCTCGTTAAATTATACTTTTCTTAACTAATGAAGGACTTAATAAATTCAATTAAATAACAATGTTATACATTATGATAAAATATAAACTTCAACAATTTATATGAAAAAATAACTAAAAGTATCAGGACATTTTTATTAAAAAATCTAAAAATTTATTTATTAGACTAATAACCCCAAATAGTATTAATTGAAAAAATATTCCCTAAACTACGCATGTAGTATTACTTCACATCTTACGAAATGTGTGTAAAAATCTTATGTTTTATAAGGCGCGATACGACTCCAACGTGCAAACACTTTTCAGAGTTTTAGAGGATACAATTTAATAACAGGTTAAACAAACTCACGTTCTACAAAATGTGAGATTCATGAGAAATTGAATTGTTACACCAATTTATTGTGGTATTTAACAAACCTCACTTTTCATCCCATATTGCAAGTGTTTATAAGCATGTTCGAGGATATTCTCGGATAGTTAATCTAAAAATTTTCATAATTTATAAAATTAAAGGCGTAGTATTAGAATTTATCTTTCAGTTGAGGTCAATATCGACACATACGAGATATTGTAAGCGGATTAAAAAATTTTGAAAGTATGAATACTTTTCCACAAGTATTGATACTTTTGAATTTTAAAAAAAAAGGAAATCAAAGAAGGGTGTAAAGTTTCTATACTTTTTTACAAATACCGATACTTTTGAATTTAAAAAAAATAATATTTTAACTTTTGAATTTAAAAATATTGATATTTGTGCAAAAGTATCGATACTTTGCTATCTTCTCTCATTTTTCATTTTTTTTAATTTGAAAATATTGATACTTGTGGAAAAATATCCATACTTTCGAATTTTTATATAAAAATTTTAACATTCTAGGTCGTAACCTATTTCTTAGTGAACCATGACATTTTTTGACACAACTCATTTCAGATCACAACCCAATTCTTAATGAAACATGACATTCTTGAGCAAAACTCATGACATTTTTGAGCACAACTCATGACATTTTTTTGGCACAACTCACTTCATATCACAACCTATTTCTTAATGAAACATGATATTCTTGGACACAACTCATTCAAGATTGTAACTTATTTCTTAGTGAACCATGATATTCTTAGGCGCAACTCATGTTATTAATAAAATATAAACATTCCAGATCACAACCTATTTCTTAGTGAACAATGACATTCTTAGGCGCAACTCATTTTATTAATAAAAATATTAACATTCCAAATCGTAATCTATTTCTTAGTGAACCATGATATTTTTAGTTTCAACCGTATTTCTTATATATATATTCATAACATTTTCAGTTTTTAACTAATTTTCTTATTCGAGAAATGTCTAAGGCCCATCAGTGGCAAATCCAGAAATATTTTGTAGGGTTGGCACACATATGTTAACAACATAAAATTATTAAGGCATAATGTAATAAAATAACCCTAACGTTTCACAGTAGTGTCAAATTTACCCGTATTTATTTGGAATATTTGTGCACTAAACGTTTATTTTTGGTAAAAAATAACCCACGGTAGATAAAAATCGTCAGTCAACTGACGGTTAACGTCGGATACTGACGAAGCGCGCACACGTAGAAGAAAAAACTAACGTGGTCATCAGGTCAACGAATAATTGATATGGCACTGTGACGTCATTTCTAAAAATTATTATTTATATTTTTATGTTATTAATTCGCACCAGTCACAGAATGACACGTGTTGCTATTCCCCAACATGGTCTGATCTGATCACCTCTTTCATTTCCAATTTTTATCCCTTACCTCTCTCCTTCATTTCCTACATCCTGCCCCCTAAACTCACAAAGCCCACTCTTGGTTCCGTCACCTGCTTGATCCGACGAAAATTTCGGCGAAAATGATGTCGCTTGAGCTTTAATCCCGCTCATTCCGCCCCTACATCTCGTGTCGATCAGCACCCCTTCTTTCTCTTCCTTCACCGACAACCCTTCCTCCTCCGTTTACTCATCCGACGATCACGACCCAAACCCTGACCCTAATCCCAATTCCAAATCCAGCTTCCCTTTCTTCCCCTCCTCTTCCTCCTCTCGATCCCTCAAGCACTCCCGCTTCTCTCCTTCCTCTTTCGCCCACAACTCCCGCCTCGCCATCGCCCTCATCCTATGCGCCGCCTTCCTCCTCAACATCGGCGGTACTCCTGTCGTCGTAATGTTGACTTTGGGGTTCATGATCACTTACATAGTCAATTCACTCAATTTCAAATCCGGCGCTTTCTTCGGCGTTTGGTTCTCTCTCATCGCTACTCAGATTGCTTTATTCTTAAGCGCTTCTCTTTACTATACCTTGAACTCGGTTCCCCTTTCTATCCTCGCGACTTTTCTTTGCATCGAGACGAATTTCTTCATCGACGCCTGGGCCTCGCTTCTGTTCAAGTGGATTCAGATTGAAAACCCTTCGATTGTTCTGGCTTTGGAGCGGCTCATTTTTGCTTGCGTTCCTTTTGCTGCTTCTACGATCTTTACTTGGGCTATCGTCTTTGCTGTTGGTATGAACAATGCTTCTTACTATTTGACGACTTTCAACTACGTTTTCTATTGGGTTTTCGCAATTCCTAGAGTTTCTTCTTTTAAAACCAAACAAGAAGGGAGGTACCACGGTGGTGAAGTTCCTGATGATAATTTGATTCTTGGTCCACTCGAGAGTTGTCTCCAAACTTTGAATTTATTGTTTTTTCCTCTCCTTTTCCATATCGCTTCGCATTACTCTGTGATGTTCTTGTTTGTTGCTTCCATCAGTTATTTGCTTCTTCTCTTCTTTATTCCTTTCCTATTCTAATTGTATGCTTCGACAAGAGGAGCATTGTGGTGGGTTAGAGAGTGACACGTGTCACTCTGTGATTGATGCGAAATAATAACATAAAAATATAGATAATAATTTTTAAATATGATGTGGCAGTGCCATGTTAGTGATCTCGAAATCCTGGACGTCCACATCAGTTTTTTTCTCTACATGTGTGTGATTCGTCAACACCCGACGTTGACCGTAAGTTGATTGACGGTTTTCATCCATCGTGTTTTATTTTTGACCAAAAAATAAACATGAGTGCACAAATGTTAAAAAACCAATACGGATAAATTTGACACTACTGTCAAATATTAGAGTTATTTTATTGTATTATGCCAATTATTAAATGGGACGAGTATAAATAAAATTTCAAGGTGGACATCATCCGCAAAATAAGTAACTAATCGAAGAAAACTCATATTTTATGGTGGGCACGAAAAAATTCAGGGTGGGCACCATCATTAAAATAAGTAAATAATCGAAGAAAATTCGGATTTCAGGGTAGACACATGCCTACCTGTCCAAGTCGTGGCTCCGCCACTTGACCCCATCAGTTTAAACTTTGATAACATTTTAGACGCAACCTAAATTATTAACGATATTCATAACATTTACTGCTATGATTTATTTTCTTATTGTTTATAATATTTCAGGTGCAACTTGTTATGTTAGTACATTGATAATTTTTCCGGTTTCGCATTATAACATTTTGTTCCGCTTTAACCTGATACCTTTTTCACCGATCACGTTATTTATTAGTCTTATTTTCGACGCCTCATAGCAAAACTCCCCACTCTGTCGACATACATAACTTTCAAACCCGACACTCACCAATATCGAGGTTAGTTTTATTATAGTTACTTAAATTAGGAGTTCGATCGGGTTGAGTCAGGCAAAAAAAAAAAATGAATTATTCGAGTTAACGAATCCTATTTTACAACTCAAAGTTGACTTGAAATTTTTTTCGAGTCGAGTAGTATCGAATTTTAGAGTTTATGTTTAAATTTAATTGTAAATATGTATACTACTATGATATTATTTGATTATAATTTAAGTGATTTTTTATAACTATATACAATATATATATATATATATATATATATATTCATATTTTTTCATATGTGATATACATATATTAGAGTTATTTGAGTTATATGGAGTTTATAAAATTGCAACTAGAAATTAATTCGAGTAGAATTTTCTCGAGTTGAGTAAAAAATATTTTTTTGTGTTGAGTTGACTTTTTCACACCCATATCTTAAACCTCCACAACTATCGATTTTGATCTCTGCTTGTGTTTTCATCTTCTTTTCTTTCTTTATATATATATATATAATTTATCATGACATTTTTTTAATAGAAAACAATTCTTAAAAGTTCAATAAAAGAGTAAAAAAACTTATCTCTATTATAGAAAAATATGTAGTTAAAATTATTGTGTTTTTAATTAATATTTACATAAATACGACAGTGAACTAAAATTACTTTGGTAAAAGGGTTTCAAGGCCAATGTGTTAAATGATAATTTAGAAAAATAAATAAATAAATTTATAAAAGTCTGATGGTAAATATATAATGAAATAAGAATGCATAAGTTGTGTAAATGTGTAAAAGTAATTTAATTTTGCATTAGATGAGTAGCATGAAACCTGACAACCTGTAGTGTGGTGCAGAAGTACAATATGTTCATGGCACAAATAGGTTGTGCAGCGATTGGTGTTGCAGCGTTCGCTCTATTTGGGCCTGGCTGGCTTGCTAAAAGTGCTGCCCTGGCTGCCTCCATAGCTTTCATGATCTACACACGTTCAACCCATCCACCAGGTACTCCCTCCCATCTTCGACTTCAGAAACTTATCTGCACGTCCGAATGCTGATTTTGGGTTGTGAATATAGCTGCAAGTTTGCCGGTTCTATTCATCGACGGAGTTAAGTTACACCACTTGAGTTTCTGGTATGCTTTTTTCCCTGGTGCCGCTGGATGTATCATTCTTTCTTTGATTATAGGTTCCTTAACAACTTCAGTTTAACACGAATACAGCCCTTTTCTTTGAGATCCCCCTGTCCCTCAAGTGATGTGCGTTTTCTGTTTGATGTGGTGCAGCAAGAAGTGGTTTGTTACTTGAAAGACAATCTCAAGTTTTGATCTCTATAAACTTGGATGGATGGATGGATGGTCGCAACATGTTGGAACAAGGTATTTTCACTCTGCTTCTGCCTACTGCAGTAGCTACGAGCTTTCCCGATGCTCTACGGCAGTATTGGGAGAAGTATGGATTGAGATTTGAGAATGCACAAATTTGTAAAGTAACAAATTGTATTCAGATTACTATTTCAATCCCATTAAATATCTAAATAAATCAAAAGAGTCTGCTTTGAGTAAGGGAATGGGATTTGCCTACTTTTGAATCAGCTGGTTGGTGATCAAATATTAGGTGAATGACTTGCTTGACGCTTACCAGCCCATAGAAATAGGATATAATCGAGTTGAGTTGAGTTTGAGTGTTGTTCAACTTGATTCGATTCGAAATATTTAAAGTTGAGTTAGTCTCGATTCGAAAACCCACGATTTTAACATTGTCAAGTTCGACTCGAACTCGAGATAGAAAATTGAACCTCGAAAAAACGTAAACTCGAAACATTCCTAGATTTAGTTCAATTGAAGTTCGAACTCGAAATTTAACTTTAACTACATGAAAATCTTATATTGAATTTAATATATATATATATATATATGCTAATATTATTAATAATTGAATTTAAATAAATTTAAAAATATTTTTTTCAATTGATTACGAGTATAAATTTTTTTAATCGAATATTAAATAAACCACTTCGATTCATTAAGAATTTGAATCGAATACAAACCTATATCAAATTTATTCAATTTAAACAACAATTAAATCCTATCAAATTAAACTTAAATAACTTATTATTTATTTCATCTCATTTATATATCTACATAGAAAGCAACAAACTCAAATAATTAGAAGACATTAGGAGTAGTAACACCATTTAGAACTTTTTTTTTTTGGATTTGAAGAGAAAAACTAAGCTTAGGTAAATAACATTACAAAATGAAACGTGTGAAGATTAATCAGCTTCTTGTAAACCACCCAATACAACCGACCCCACAAACAATCCAGCAGCACCAACAAGAAGTGCCCCAGCCACCACCGCTTGCAACGCCACCAGCCCAACCGAGTCATCCGGTATAATCACTACAGCCAACAGCGCCGCCACCAAAGCTGGAAGTGCCACCGAAGCCAGCGTGGAAGGGGAAACGCTGGCCGCCTTCTCCAACAAGCTGAGCAGCCCCAGCTCCTCGGCTTTGGAAAAAACGCCGACTTTCTCTATCGACGAAAGGGTGAGTCCAAGCTCCTCTGCCTTGGATAACAGCCCCGCCTTCTCAACGTTGCTCAGAACCTTTCTATTCTCTAGCTTCTTAAACACGTCCACTTCTACTTCTTCGCTTCCTTCGTAGAAGATCCCTGCTCCAAACCATTGCTTTTCCTACCCGGAATCGTACTTATTTACCTGAAACAAAAAGCAAACAAACCGCATCAATCTTTTTTCTTGAGAACCAAAAATGGGCTAGGATTTGAGGATGATACCTTCTTTTTGGGGGCCATGCTTACGATTGTTAATGGCTTTTTTTATGGAAAAAGGGGTTGAATTGTGGGTTTTTCGAGGGAAACTTGGAATGTTCGATTCCGGTAAGGTAAGCAACTGGGGATGATGTAGAGACCGCCATTGATGAATCAAAGGTGATCAAGAGTGTGGAAGAATTAGTTTTCTTTTACTTCTGAGGGGATGCCAATTGCCACGTAGGATGATATACGTAATCTCGAGTTATGAAATGTCCGATTCTTCGCCAATCAAAAATAATCACACCTTTCTTTGGGGAAATAATGTTTTTTTTTCTTATCAATTATCTTTTTATAGATTATTCATTGAAAATAAAGCAGGTATTACACCATAGACATATTTTCTGTTTCAATAAAAATATCACTGTTGATATTTCTTTATCAAAATTTTCCAACAGAGACCCAAAAAACACGTTTTACTTTTATCGGGCTAAATACATTTTTATGTATTTAATTTATATCTTAAATTACTTTTTGATGTTTAATTTTTTTTGTTAAAAATAAGTATTTAACGTTTTCTAACGTTATACTTTAGGTATCTGGATCGCAACGGTCGTTAGATTTAATCGTTATTTGATACGTGTCATGCATATAAAAGTTCAAAAAAGCTATTTAAAAAGATACACTTTTAGGTGCTTAAACTATATCTCAAATTATCTTTGGGTGCCTAAAGAATTTTTTCATTAAAAATAATTGCCTAACGTTTTCTTTGTTAAACTTTTAGGTGCATACTGTTATATTTTTAGATTTTTTAATAATAAAAATATTTTTTTTAAAAAAAATTCTAAAACAAATCAAACCTTCTTCTTATGTCGTCCCTCTCCTATCTTCGACGACAACGAAGGGTCATCACCGGCTGAGTTTTGTTCGGAGCAAGACGAGAAACCTAATAGTGATAGTCATGTAGGTTCGACCAGCTGTAGCCGTCGAAATCGTTGAAAAATAGAAAAAGAAAACTTAAAAAACTGGTGACCCTTCACAATGTTTTTCACGACGATCAACGTAATTTCACAGTAGGTGGGAGATTGGGTATTAGTCACAATGACAAGATGATTATGATGGTGTCAACGATGACAATCACATCGGCGTAGTTTCACGACGATCTTTTTAAAATATTTTTTAAAATTTTATATGTATGACATGTTTCCGATAACAACCAAATTTAACTATTGTTACGGTCTAGGCACATATTTTAAGCAAAAAATTCTTTAGGTAATAAAAGTTCATTTGAGGTATAGTTTGAGCACCTAGAAGTGTATTAAACCTTAAAAATAAAAAAATATAACGGTAGGCACCTAAAGTGTAGCGAAAAAATGTTAAATACCTATTTTTAACGAAAAATATTTTAAACACCAAAAGTCAATTTGAGATATAATTTAGTGTAACACCCTAATTTGATTCGACTCGAAACCCAGTGGATTAGAATGTCACACGAAACCATCCAAGTGGCTAACCTTTTTTTAAAACCATTTGACCAATTGACTTACGCATATAACATAAACCAAATATATTATGTTTACAAAACTTAAGTATTTAAAATATGAGGGAGCTCATAACATCAGTCACCAAAATATTTAAATACAAAATAACATAGTTTACGAATCAAATAAAAAAAGGGTCTATGATAGTACATGTCCACTAAATAATCGAGACATACTCTAAAAAAGGTTGAGTATGGAATCCAAGTCTAGCAATAAGCTCCTCAGATGACACCTAAGAACCTGTAAACGAAAACACATTCTATACGCTAAGCTGACAAGCTCAGTTCCACACAAATAACCCTACTATAGTATATACATTCAACATATGAGTATGCTAAAAACATGATTATGAACATTTGCATACACTCACATAACAACCAAATTAAGCTTCATGGTATAGCTCAGGGTCACTTAGCATTACGAAACTTGCACCCCTCATTGCTTGCTTAAGAACCTTAGAGAGACCTGATTCACAAAGAATCAACATCTCCTTATACCTTGAACTGAGTCCGGGTTAGTTAGCATCAGAGCTCACTCAACTAGTCTACTCTTCTAGAGTACTTGGGATTTGCCCTGGTCACATAGCACCGGTGCAATATCCAACTAGCATTTAAAATGCACCAGCACTTATTTGGATATATTTGGATAATCCTCATACTACCTCACTAACGTCATTTAAGTAACTCAAGTGTCCTCTTTGTTTTCTAGAATCAAACAAATGAATAAGTCTTATGGAATCTTACCTCATTAACACCTTATATTATCACACAATTATTAAGGTTTCCACTTGTATTCTTATGGAAGGGTATCCATTCTTAATGAAATCCCATTATCTTTCCTCTAACCCAAACTAACCTTGTAACATCCTCATTACCGGGTTAGTGACCAAATTGTAAAATTTCAGGAATTGGTGATTAAAGTAGGATAATTGAATAGTTCAATGATTTATTGGAAATATGATGAAGGTTATTTAGTAATTATTGAATGAATTAAAGAGTAAAATGGTAAATTGACAAGTAAGATTTTTATATTCCTTTTATAAGAAAAAGAACCACGTGGGAATGGAGAATTATCTAGAGTTTCTTTCTTCTTCTTCCTCCTCCCGTATCTCCAAGCTCAAATGTGAGTTTCTTTGTTTATGGATTAATTGTTGATTTTAAGGTTGGGTTTTGATTATTAGATGATAACTAAGCTTAAGGAAAGCTTAAGTTATCTTAAAATCAAAGTATGATGAAGTTAGGAGGGATTAAAGATTTGAGGTTCTTGGGTGAAATCTTGAAATAAAGTTCATAACTAGAGTTGGAAGTTAAATTTGACTTGTCAAGGGTCTAATTAAGAAGTTAGAAGCCATAGAATTGGAATTAAAACATATTGCAAAGTTGGTTTAATTATTGAGTTACATATGAGGAATAGAATTTTGAAGTTAAAGATGGTTTATATGGATATAAATTGGTTTAAGCATGTGTATATGAGTTGAAAACATGAAAGGGGTTGACAGATGAAGCATTTGAGTTGATTTGAGTAGATTTTCGGGCTTAAAAATGAATTCTGGGCTATGTGCATCGATGCACATTCAAGGTGCACCGATGCATCAAGGGCAAATTTCCAGAAATTGTTCAGAGTGTATCGATGCACAGGAAGTGTATCGATGCACATGAAGTGCATCGATGCACCCATTAAAAATGGAAACATCGAATGCAATTAATGCATCGATGTATAAGGAGTGCATCGATGCACATGTTAAGGGATGCATCGATGCACGGTAGGATTCATCGATGCACTTCAAGGGGAAATAGAAATAAACCTTTCTTTTGGTCTAAGAAATGATATATTAGCGTATATCAATTGAATACTGATATGTATCAATGTATGATCATATAGATATCGAGCACGAACAAGTCCCGGAACGAAGATTCGATCGAAAGAGATGAAAGCATAAAAGTGGATTAAAACTTAGTGAGGCCAATGTGAGTGCATATACATTAGTATATGATGTGTGTGGAAAAGACTCGCGATGAGTCTACTTCCAACATTTGATTACATGATTTTATGAATATTAATATG